CTTAGATTGTAATAAACTAAGATATGTCACTGTCTGAAATATTCTCTGACCATAGGTATACAGGAACCCTAGCAGAGGGACTTGTGGAGAAGTGGTGGAAACATAGAGGAAGAAGAAACAATCAAGCCATTTCTCTATAAGTGCCTCGCCTTAGTTTTCAGAAGAACAACTTTTTAGGCCAGTACTCTTTAATAGTTTGTCAGAATGATAAAACTGCTAAACTAACTAAATTCAAGGGGCTAGTTTGTGTCGTTATCTTTTAAGGTTTTTTGCAAGGAATAGTTTGTCAGGAGGATAAAACTGATAAACTATCTAAATACAAGAGGTTAATTTGTCTTTTTATATTTTAAGATTTCTTGCAAGGAATGTGGTAGTAAAATGGTTAATAATTGGTTACTAATTATAATGGAAGAATACGTGCTGACCTGCTACTGCAAACAATCAACTCAACATAACAGTGTCTTGGCATTGCTCATACAACTCCTCGTTCCATACAATTCGTTGCCGACTTATCATAATCGTTGGTTATTATTCCAGTTGGGCACTATAAACAATTTTTCGTTCCATATATTTCGTTGTTGCTTTCTCATCACTGTTGGATATTAATCCTGTTCTGCACCATGAAGTAGGACAAACATGATAAAAGATTTGTAAAGTGTATATTATTTATTTCTTTAATACCTACTAAACCCAAAGTAGCTTCTATTGGCAAGATTGATTCCTCGTTGAATCACTAAAATGACGTCATTTTTGGTATTTAAGGTAGTTCCCAGATAAATATATTCCATCTTATACAGCATAAGAACTTATAGTTCTCAATAGTCTCAAGATGGGTCTCAAGATTCTCTAAAAATTTATTTGTTAATAGAAAGCCAGTTATCACAAGTTCTACTTCGCTAATTTGCTCCTAGAATGCTTTATCGTAAAATTATTCTTTTATTATTCTTATTTTCCGTTAAGGTAAGCATGCCAGAAGATTAAATATTTTTTGCAATAACTCGTTGTAGTATTTAGGAAAATTGAAGAAGTACTTCTCATTTGTTTGGTCTTCGTTTGGCACATGCGCAACATAGGTTAAACATGCTAGGGACCTACTTGCGAGATAATCTTAATTAGTTGCAAAGACATATCCTTGAAAAGTATTTTGTGCTATATTAAAGGTTCGTAGTAGTTACAAATTTTTGAAAACTTATGTTGCAATACAATGCTTTATGGGATTTTTTTAGTATTTTTCAAATATCTTGACCTGACTTCAACTGGGTGAAATGGAACACCATTGTACTTCTATTGTATTTAATTTTTTCAAAATTACATTTTTGTTTAATTTTGGATGCCCACATGTACACGTTGCAACCTATCCATCCGTTGGAAGCATATATAAAGTTTCACTTTCGGATTATAATTTTTTTATTATATCAACTTACGGGGTGCTTGACCTAATTGTGATTTATGGCCCGCTTATATCATTGCTTGAAGCTTTTAACGTGAAAAGATTTAATATTTTTATGTTCAGCTTAAAGTTTCCTGTTTAATTTTCGTGTTCAAATGCATGTTCAATGCTCATAAAACAAATACTAAAAAGCAAAATTTATGAGTTTGGTTTATGTATCTAACAATTGAATGCACATGTAAACAATGATTTTAAAGGATCGTATACACAATGAGTCCATTGTTTCTATTTGAACAATTTTATTTGCTTTAGAATTACAATTGTTTAAATATCATGGTACAAGTGCCGCTGGACAATTATCTATAATTCAACCCTCCTCTTCGCCGCTTTACCTTTCTCATTCATCAGGGACAACAATGCTCACTGCTCAAGCGCCACACTTGAATCAAGTTTGCAAGTGGCAGCTGCACTTCCAACTACAAACGATGATGTCCTTTTCTATTCTATAATGCACGCTTCCTTCCGTGTCCTAATCAGTGTTTTATTCTGCCTGTACTTGTGCATCAATTTGCTTGTGCGGAGCTATTTATTTGTGTCTGCAGATACATGAAATTAATTGTTCAATGCTAACAATACTGCATTTTATGATTATTTCAGTTACAAAATTATTTTTAGTTTATTATTTTTATTTCTATTTTTATTATTTTTGTATTTTTATTGCCGTGTTGAGTTGAGTTGAGTTCAGATGAGTTGAGCACGCGTAACGTGTAACTCGAAAGTGATTGATGTGTGACATGATCATTGCCCTGGAACGGATGCGCGCTCCGACGATTACATCATGACAAATGACGAATTACTTTACAGAACAAACCAAATTGGCACGATTCACTTTTCAGAAGAGATTTTTAGATGCCCAAGGAGTTGCTTGAGAAAAAAATAACTATATTTTTTTCTATTACCGGGATAATGATGTTATGGAACTAAGGACATTTCACACTCAATAAGCCGATTTATAGAGATTAGTTTAATAGTCTTTTTTTTTTGGTGAAAAAAATTATTTTTTTTACAAAAAACTTGAGGGAAAAAATTTATTAAAGCGATTATTTTTTGTAGTGTTTTTATGCAAGCGATTTTAAGGATTCAATTAATACGATATAATTTTTTTCAATCGCTTAAATATGTGGTTGAATTTGTGGGTTTTCTCCGGGGCATTGTCAGTATAGCTTGATATGAATCCGAAGAAAAATGAATTAAATGAGTATAAGGGTTTTGTTGTACGAGTTGCATATGTCAAATATATAGGAAAAATTCATTTAATACTCACTAAACTAAGAAGATTTGAATTCAATACGACTAGGTTAAAAAATAAGAGTTTTATACTAACAAATGTTTCCATATCTGCCATATCTTCCATGTCTTCTTTCTGTATTAAATGACAAAAACACTAAAAATTGACTTTCTGAGTAAGTGGTTTATAATTTGAATAAATGCGGTGCTTTGTATTATTAATAATATATGTATAAATCTTATACATTTATAATTAAATATATTAAGTTTAATTAAGTTTTCATTAAAATTTTTACTTAAATGAAATGTAGCTGATGTCTTCTATATGCGTATAACCATGGTATGTAGGTAGGTTACAGTGGCGATTTTGTATCCAAAACAGCCCACTTGAGCTCAAATATTGGCACATTGTGGTGTACCACATGAACAGCGTTGGTTCTTTCATAGACTAAAAGTTTAGTATACGACATTTATCCATTTGGTAAAGGTAAACCCACCTGACAGTTCTATGAATTTGGTTAAGTCCCTAATATTGCAGGATGACAGCTAAGTCAAATCGGTAAGAAAAGGTGGCCCGGAGATTTTTGATCTTCTTCTACCTATAAAAGTGCACTGACATATGAGGTGGCGCACAGGCTCCTCCGCATCTTTAGAGCTACAACCGCCACAAAAATTTAATGAACATATGTATTTTCACGTTGTAACGGTATAGTTGTTTGTTTATTATATAGGTTATATATAAAATCCTTTGAGTGTTGTA